GCAGTCTGCCATTGCTAGGTTAGGACCCAGAGGACTACATCACACCTTATGTGGAGCAGCAGGGCATGTCTCCTGCAGCTCTCTCGTGCACGAAGGAAGACACTGAGAAGTGCAATAATCAAGATCAATAGCTAGAACAAATTACTCCTTAAAATGGGATGGTCTGCACAGGCAGGGCAGTACAAGGCAGCTACAGGCACAATGCAGCATGGGCCAAACTGAACTTTTGTTAATGGCAAGGTGTTGAAATGCATCTCTCCAGGCAGCACTCAGCTGCGATTGCTACTGTTAGGAGAGTGAAAACATGAAGATCCCAAATCTACATTTGAATACGTAAGCAGACAGGGAACCTAAGAGCAACCTATTGCTGTGTGGTGGAGACTTGGCTGGCACCCCGCAAAACACAGTCTGATCATGTTGAGGGCGGCTGTGTCTTCACCAGAAGGGTTGTTCCTTCTGCTGTGTCTGCTGGGACGTCTCACCCTTTCACCTTACTCCTGGGCACCGTCACAAAGCACACCCTGCTCCACTGGGCGTTTCCTCCAACTTGCTCTCCGATCTTAGAGACTTCCCCACAAGCCATGACCCAAGGCTGAAGCTGTTCTCTTGAGGTGAGGGCTCTGTGTCCCGCACCAACACCCTGAATTTAGACCTTCACCTTTACTTCAAACAAGGCCAGAGACCACCTTAACCTTGTACCTCTGGCTACCAGTGCTAAAATATTGCAAAACTCGGCCTTTTGCTTGTCCTTGTCTGTGTAGATGCCTTTATTCAGGTTTCAGGCACCACTTCCTTCTCACCTATTTCAGTTCTCTTTCTCATGGTTTGCTCAATTTCTGTTTCAACCTTCAGCCTGGTAAGAGACCTGCCGCCTGTGAGTCTCACTGCAAGCAGCACTGAGGCTGCTGCCCTCTTTCCCAACTGATAGCTTGCAGCTCATCCCTGGCTCTGTCCCTGTCTCTAGTGTGCAGTTCCCCACTGAAGCACAATCAGGGAGCTTTCTGTTGAAGTCACACCACGCGCTAACTCGGGCCTTGCTCACCAATACTTTCCCTCTCTCCTCCCCTGCTGCAGCTGGGTTATAGATGTCATTGTCTCCCTGGACCTCTCCCCTCTCTCTCCAGAAGACAGAATCATTTCCTCTTAAAAATCTCACTTCTTCCTGCACTATCTATTTTAGTTTGAAGTTGACTGTGAACTTCTCACTTTCCCCAAAGCCAACCACACCTTCTCCTGGCAATTTAACCCCCCAACCCTTTTCCCATTCTTGACCTTTCTTCTTCACACACCGTGATGAGGCCATCAGGAATTGTGTCCATTTTACAGATGGAAAAGCAATGGGTTAGATGCACTTCTAAAAAGTCCCACTAAGGTAAGTAGCAGGGTAAAAATTAAGAACTCAGGAGTTCTCACTCCCAGTTCCAGGTTTGGATCACTGGATTTAAGTATATTTTTCACTCTGGGGAGGTTAAATGTGAATTTTGAAGGTCTGGTCCTTGTCCAAAAGCCACCCTACAACTGCAATGAGGAAGCTCAAAGTCCAAGAAGCTGCTTGAGAGATGGCATTTCACAGCCTGTAGTTTTCTTGTGAGCAATCACAGTGAGTTAGTGCAACACACCCACTTGGACTGGCTTTGTCCAAGGATGCACAGGGGGTGCAGCTCTGTTACCTGTGGACGCCAGTCACACTCTCCTCTACTATCCCCTTGATTTTCTTAAACATGTTGGGGTATTTCTTATAAATCCAGTGGGTGAGGTCCCCTCCATCATCCAAGATCTGCAATAAGAAAGTCACACAGGTCAGTGCCCTGAAGAGTCAGCATAGCTGCCAACCTCCCTAAGTAAATTATGCACCAAATTCCAAATTTATTAAGCTTGCTCAAGATTTTGCACTGTGCAAGCTACAGTCACTGCAACAGCACAGGCATAACCCACAAAAGGACTATTTTGTCTGATTATTCAGGGTAGGAACAACGTTTTGGTTTTGTGTGTAGTTCTTCTAGGCAGATGCTGCCAAAATGCTAAGCATTTAAACCCCAAAGAGGGACTGCCTGAACAGCCCTAGCACAAGCTCCTCTCTCTGACTGCCCTTCCAGCCAGAAGAACCACTGCAGAAGTGACAGAGAAGTGTTCATGCATCACAGCTGAACCCAGATCCAACCTTTCCACCCCAACTGCGAATGGTGAGGCCAGGTGACCTTGACTGCAATAGTAATTTTGTTCTGGAAAAGGCACTGTGTTTCACAAAGTTCAATCCATATCCTTTACACGGTCACCTTGGGTCACAACTCACCTAGGCTGAGCTTCAATTTAGGACTTAAAAGGTACCAATCACCCAAACCATCCAACACCTCTCAAGGATACACTTTTCCAAAGGATATTAAACCTCAAAGTAGAAGACATAACTCATAGTGGGATGCAAGGGATAAGGTGGGAAGGAATAGAGACAAACTTCATCGTTTGACAACCACCAATCCCCTGGATCATAGTGTATGTGCAAGAGGTCTATGCCACCATTACACCAAGACCTTCAGTGCGTACACCTAGGCAAGAGTATGGAGGAGTGGAGGCTGTCCTAGACCAACTATCCCCCGCTTTAGACCACTGAGACAGAGTCCAGAGGTCAGCCCGAGTCCAGACAGTCAGTGCCTCGATGGTTGTAGCTTCTGCCAGAGAGCACACTTACTGCTCGACTACAACCACTAAACATGAACAAGTTGGGCTGGTGCTACATAATACCCAAGGAACGTGCCCGCTGAAAATTCAGCGTCTTGTAAAAGGACTCAAGCAGATAACTATAACTGAGTCAGGAAGTGACAGAAATCAGAGATGGAAAAGAGCCTCACCGGTGACCAACGTACGGTGAGTGGTATGATCACCTTGCCTAAGGTAGCACAGTCTGGTAATCTATCGTACAGCCGTAACGCACGCTCTTATACACCAGCATGTAGAGCCGGATATGCTTACACCCATCAGTTTGATTCAAGCATTTCTGTGGCACACAACAGCATCTGTCAGAGGGTCGAGGATTTTAAGTTAAAAATGTTATGTACCATATATGATCATTGCCGTCTGCTGACTATGGACCCACAGACAATTAGAAAAAGCCTACTGGGAGCTATTGGAGTTTCCCCAAGCAGTGGATTCCTGTATTTGTGCCCCTCCTTTGTCACCCCAGGCCAAATGATCTGGCCCCAACAAAAGCTACTTCCACTTGCGCCTCCCACATTGCTTCAGTGCGTAGCCCGTCCAAAAAGACACGGGTGGAGAACTCTGGACGAGAGCCTGACACACCAGCCTCTCCTATATCAAGGTATTTCTACACCACAGACTTACTGTGTCGGGCACTGATGCCCTTCCACGTACCATGCTGCATTACCCAGGGTATTGTCTGAACTGGTATCTAACAAGGCTTCATTTGTGCAGTGCTGGGCAGGCCAATTAGCACTGTCACTCAGCAGCACTAATTAGCCCCCCTGCAGCATCATACAAATGAGTCTACGCTGGCTCCGGTGCAGCAGGAAGCCCATGCGAAGCAGGATGTATCTGAGGGTGCTTCTTCCTGACATAGTGAGCTTGCAAAGTAGTCACAGAGACCCAGTACGCCCTGCAAATGTGCTGCAGCATCATTAGGACCCTGAGAATGCATCATAACCTCTCATGTGCTCAGCGTCCCACCTTATATACAGCACAGAAATCACCGGGATACCTGGGTTTCAACAGCCAAGCCATAAGGGGCTCCAGCCAGTGTTCATCAGAAATCTCTTCTTGGCTCAAGCCTCAAGATAGGGAGCTGCCCAGTGTGCAATCCTGCACAGAACAAGGCCAGCGTTGTTGTGCCTGGACTACAGGGCCAGCCTAAAGCACGGGCAGGCCAGTATCTTACTCCCATTTTATACCACCTAGGATTTCACAAGGCCCCTCCTGCTTGTTTTTCCGCTAGGGGATAATAATGGTTGGGGGGGGCGGGGGTGGAGTCTCAAATTGTAATTGCACTGTTACCTCCCTAATTCCTCCCCATCCACTTGGAGAGGCCCCGGTGCTGTGGCATCCCCAGGACAGTGCCTGCTGGATTAGCCCATCAGACTAGGAGCCTGAGCAAGGCCAGAGCTGAGGAGGAACGGGCATCAGGTTTCAGTGACCAGCAGGTGAAATGCCGAGTGCCTGGTTCAGCTTAGCACATGGCGGCACTTAATCAACCCAGGCTAAGCACACGGCCACGGGGACTGCGGACGATTCCTTCTGCAAGTCACTTACCAGATGCCAGGGAAAGGCCGACTCTCCGGAGTCCTGCCAGCCCCTCCATTGCTCAGGTGGTTTCAAAGGGTCAGCTGCCAGTTTATCGTCCCTGCTGAGAAAGGACTCGGCAGCCACTGCCCATGAGCTTCTCCCAGCACAACGCCTCGAGCTCCCTCTACTGGTAATTGTGGCTTCATTCAAACCCAAAAGACACCCCCCGCTGCTTGTACAAAAAGCCCATGTGACGGAGCATCAGGAAATAACCTGATGAGGTCCATCCTGTGTCCACTATGGGGCCAACCCTCTGCTAGATCAGAAAGCCTCTATCACGAGCTATTCAAACAGGGATTTGGAAATGGTGAAGTCCTCTGAACCATAAGCTCTCCTTGCTCATCTGCCTCTTGGCAGGACCAGGACCACCAATGATCCTACCACTAGTGCTGGGATGTGCCGAGTATGGCAAGCGCTGCCTTAAAAATGAGAATACTGATTTAGTGGTCATTCCTTTTCCTCTTCCATGTCTTTTACAGCTGAGCTCCAGCTCCTGTGCAAGGCAGATATGACCCTCATTTTACAGGCTGGGAAACTGAGGTGTGGCGGCAGCGTTAGGGATGGCAACTCAGCTGCTCCTGGAGAATTCAGTACTGAGGAAATGAAGGCAGCCCTCAAGCTTTCAAAGAACAACAAATCACCATGGCCTCATGCCATACATGCTGAATTTCCTTGCAACTCCGGGGAGATGATCATTTGGCGTTGTGAGTTCATCTCCAACTGCGTCGAATGCAACGAGATCCCTTGCATTTGGAGAAAGGCCACAGGCGTTGCGTTCCTAAAGTCTAACAAGCCCAAAAAGAGCTACAGACCAATCTCCCCGCTGTGCTTTCCCCACAAGCTACTGGGATGTCTCATTTATGCCCAAGTCTACCCCATAACCGATCCGCAGCTGCCTAAGGAGCAGGCTGGTTTCAGACGAGCAGGTAACCCCTCACTCAAGACACTGAAGAGAGCTGCCAGACTGGGGAGAAGGCCGGTGCTGTCCTGGGTGGACCTCGCCCCTTCTTTTAATCGAAAATGCAATGGAGTGGAGAAATGAACACAACAAAAATCCTAAGCATAAGATCCCTTCTGCCCTGATTTCCACCTCGACATACCCATATTTCACTTGGAGTACTAAACCCATTGACCGTCTGGAAGTCCGGATGCGACACACCATCCCCTTCTCCAAATGTGGAAAGAGGGCAGAACTGGGAGTTGAGCAAGGCTCTTTTCCCCTGGGGGTGCAAGGGTAAGATGACCCTGCAGCTCCAGAGCACCTGCTCAGACGCATAAAATGCCAAGCCTGCCACGCCTGCCGCAGGTGCATTTACCAGCAGCTCTCTCCTACACTTGCTACCAGCAGGTTTCTCATGAGGGTCCTCCCTAGTCACCACTTCAGCAAAATGGTTTTCACATGCGTGACTACAGCTGGGACTTTTCCTTATGTAAACCCTGGATGAAAATGAGCCCTAGGCTGCCTTTCTGTCACTCTTCATGTTATGAGGGGATCAGCGACAAACTGCTAGAAGGTAGTTAGCTGAGCTGTATTTTATCACTCCCTTCCTGATTTTAATGCCTGGCCTCAGACAGCTTTGAAGGGCATCCATGATTGCTTTCTCACACCCGCCCCCCCATCCTTCCACTCTGCAAGGTGCCGTGAAGACACAACTCCTTCAAACGGCGACTTTTCCTATATCTAAAACACCGGCAAAGATCTAATCCACCTCCCTCCAGAGCGACATCTTGGATTTTCACTGTACGGCCCAGCTGTGTGCCCTGCTGCCATGAGGTGCGACCCACAATCCTGAGTCTCTCATTGAGCTGTCAGATTTTCAGAACAGTAATTCCCTACTCTATGCCCACGTCTACTTCACAGCTATTTCTCCCTTGCCCATCTAATTCCCCTTTACCCCGTCTACCCAGCACAATTCAGAAGGATCTCAACCGACAGGAAAGTTGGGTTACAGCTAACAAGTTCAATGTGGACAAATGCAAGGTGCTGCATCCCAGGAGGAATAATCAAAAACACCAACATAAAATAGGTGACACCTGGCTGGAATGGCAGCACTATGGAAAAGGACTTGGGGGTCCTTGGTAGACCACAGATTCACTATGGGCGCATCGATATGTTCATTAATGTGCTTTTGCTAATGCGCATTAAATTTAGTACCACCATTGTGATGTACCAGAAAAAGGCGCATTAGCCTATTTTAATGCACATTAGCGAAAGCAGACGGTTTTTTGTGATGTTTAGTGTGCATTAAAATAAGCTAATGTGCATTAAAGTGCACATGTACATGCGCCCTGCGAGTCTGCAGTGTGATGCAGCCGCACAAAAGGCGAATACGATTTTGGGTCGCATCAACAGAAGCATTAGGTGCAAGACACGGGAGGTGATAGCGCCTCTCTACTTGGCACTAGTTAGGCCTCATCTGGAGCAGTGTCTGCAGTTCTGGGCTCCACATTTTAAAAAGGACGTGGAGAAGCTAGACGGGACCCAGAGGCAGGCAACAAAGATGATAAAGGGCTTGGAAAATCAATCATATGAGGAGAGGCTGAAGAAGCTGGGCATGTTCAGCTTGTGGAAAAGGCACTTAAGAGGGGACATGAGAGCAGTCCTCAAATATCTGAAAGGCTGCCATAAAGAAGAGGGAAAGCACCTTTTCTCTCTTGCTGCAGAGAGAAGGACATGGACTAATGGCTTGAAGTTACAGCAAAGTTTAGATTGGATATCCGGAAAAACGTCTTCACTGGTAAAATAGAGAGGCAGTGGAACGGAGGCCCAGGGAAGTTGGGGACGCTCCATCACTGGATCTATGAATCACCATATTTAGGGTCAGGAAGGAATTTTACCCCACAGTCAGACCGGTACGGACTGTGGGGGGTTTTCCACCCTCTGTGGCAGAGGGCATGGCAGCAGAGCATAAACTGACAACATTTCATTGACAGGTTGCTGGCTGCGGTGGTCCCCCTGCTTTACCTGTGGCAGGTTCGGGTGTGATGTCTGCATTGTCAGGGTTGATGGTACTCTTATGTAGAGGTAAGATTATGGATTTGTATAGGACGGTTTGGATAGGGATGACCCTGCCTCAACCCACCGGCGGTGCCTGCTGTGGGCGCACACATCTGGGGGGTGCATGCCTCCCCCTGCCCCCTCCAGACACCAACCCCCTGCCCCAAACTTTGGGAGTGAGGGGCACCAGCAGGGCTGAGGGATGGGAGGCTGTGGGGTGGGAGCGAAGGGCACTGGCAGAGCCAAGGGGGCTTTTTTCTACTTAACCTATTTACAGGGTTGAGACTGGCCTTTGATGTTTATAAAGGAGTCCTGGTACAAAAAAGGTTGAGGAGCACTGGTCTAGATCATCTCTGGAGGTCCCTTCCAGCCCAACTTCTCTATGAGTCTAATCCCAGGGATTGACCTCACTTTGCTTCCCGTGCACAAGGCCAAGTGCCATTCCTTAACCCAGAGCTGTCATTCCCACTTGCCTGCCTTTGGGTGCATCATTTCTTGCTCTGAAACAGCCTGGTGCCTCAGTAAGAAACCAGGCTGTATGGCTTGGATGGATCAACCATAGAGATGTTCGGGTTTTCACACAGCTCACACCCAGCCATGTTTCGGGGGGACTGCCCATCCAGAGAGTCCCATGCAACTGCTCCAAGCCTGCTATCCTCATGATATGAAAACCCCAAACTCCTTGTCTCAAAAAAGGGTTTTCAGTAACTCAGGAGCTACTTGCTAGATTGGAGGAGCCCATGCACAGGTACTGAGATTTCCAGTACATGTTGTGCTGATTATAAGTTGAACCCACATATTCCAAGTTCAAATTTTGAAGACAAAACACATTTTTTTCTCTTCTCTTCCATATAAGTTGATAACTACAGGTGCAGATCTCAAACAGCTCTTGCCCGTGGAGAATCACATAACTGAAAGCAGGTCCCAAAGGGTTATATGCACTAAAAATACTAAAATATGAACTACTGGAAAAAAAAATTCTGCCTTTGACTTTTTATCGCAGGCACAAAAATCCTGCAGGTGTGAAGTCAAGACTTTGGGGGCCCAAATGCAAGCCAACCCTGCTTATACATCAAGTGTAATTTTTATGGCTCTTCTGGAGGGGAAAAAAAGTAGATTTATAATCAGAACAACACAGCAGCTTCTCTCTGGGGGCAACCTGAGTTGATCTGTACCGAGTGGCGGCCAAATTCACAGGGAATGAGAAACCTCACTGGTACCTTCCAGAGGAAACGCTCCTCTCCACAACCCCTGCCCGGTGGCCATCTTTGCAGCCTCGGACCACTTTCCATCACAAACCTGGCATATATATTTCAGACTGGCAGCACCCTTCACATTGCTGCCACCCTGCAAGCCAAGGGCTGCAGCGGGCATAGGAGCAGCCTTATTTCCACGTGAGGGCTAAAGAGAAGAAAGCAGTTTGCCCTTTTGAGCTCAGGCATGGCGCAGACAGGATGGGTACTCAGGGCACAGCAGGGCAATCTGCTATGTGAACAGGAGGGGCAGGTAACTGCAGGAAGGTCTCTTAGGGGGCTCTGGGTCCCAGACCATCCTGCTTTTTGTGAACTTCGGCTTCTTCTTTCCGACTCGTGTCTAATTTTGGCTATTTTTAGCCTCTCTCCACTGTGCTCGCTTTCATATTTGCCTGTTTCCAGGGAAACAACGAAATCAGCAGCACAGGTGGCACTCTAGCCATCTGCACGCGAAGTATGAAACCAGTTTTATGATGACTCACAGCATACAGCTGACGACGGGGATCCTGGCTTACAGGAAACGTTCCCCAGGTAGCCGAGCCCAGTTCGGGTAGCCGGGACTCCTGGGTTCTGCTCTGTTGATTCAGGCATCTCGTAATGTGCCACTGCTTTCTCCTCTGCGACATGGAGGTAAAACACTCCTTGCCCCACAGGAAGACTATGAATCTTAGATGACATAGACATTAGGGCTGGAAGGGACCTTGCAAGATCATCGGGTCCAGCCCCCTTAATCCCATTCAGAGCTTTTCACTCCTATAAGCGACTTCCACCCAAGGACCATTTGGTGGGATACTCAAGCTCACAAACCTTCTCTGCATTTATAATAGTACAAATGAAGTGTGCTTTATTGAGGCAAGATCACCCACTGCCAGATCAGTTGCAAGGAGACCACTGCCCATTTTATGGCAATAAAATGCTATGCCATGCTAGCAAAATGTTGTGCTAATACTGTACTGAGTATATATACTCCTTTGGATAACATGCTCAGCTTAAAAAGCACTTCCACAAGGTGCTATTCTCCACGTTACTGATTTCACAGGTCATCCAGGATATCACTGGCAAGACTGGGATCGGTATTAGGAGCTCCACGCTCCAACTGCACTCAAACCAAATCTTCATCAACGCATCAAGCAAAATCCTTGGTCCTACCAGAGTCAACGACAAAAGCTCTCACTGGTTCCAGCAGTGTCAGGATTTCACTGACAGCAGGGAAAGCTAGACTTCAGTCAAGTCTGGAAGACCGGGGGAGAGAGCGTGTTTGGTGAGGCCTGCAGTGATCCTGCAACTTTTCTGCTCTGCAGGTAACTGTGTAATATCCCACAACCTACCTTCCACTCACAACACCCACTTTCCCATTGCTTGGTACTAAAATGCTCTGTTCCGTTCGTCACCTGGAACAGGAGCCCGGAGGATCACAACTTGAGAAGTGCTAGATCAAGTACAGTTGGCTTTGCTGGCTTTCTGAAGGTCTATACCTCTTCACAAAGCCCCATCTGAAGAGACATTGGCCATTACAGATGCATAAACCCAGGAAGCCTCATCAAACAATCACAGGAAAGTAAGCTAAATGGACTGATGAGGAATTTTCATTTTGCCAATAGCATCAACGATGACCGCTGTTGCTCCTAATGGGACAGCATTTCCAAAGCAAACACCGCTTATTTCTCTGACTGAGTTTCCTAGATACAGAAATATGGCTTGGGGACAGATTTTTTGATCATTCACAAATTCCTTTAAAGGTGACAGAGAAAACAAAAGTCAAACAGATGCTATTTGAAGAAACAAAAATTAACATCCCAAATGATTTAATATGAGGAAACTTAAACGATGCAAATGCATGGCAATATCCTCCAGCCTCTCTTCTTCTTCTTTGCCTAAATTTAGATTCTGAATTGCAGAAAACAGGACCTGTCTAAAGTGTTATGGAAGTAAAACATTTGAGAGCTGAAACACCAAGATATTTGAGAGCTGAAATATTTGCCAAATACCAAGATCAGAATATTGCATTTTCTCTTTCAGCTGGGACCTCACAAACCACCAATGCAAGGAGCTGCAGTACTTCATGAGCAACACAGCGGGTGCAGGATTTAGTATCAAGATTATCTGGTTTCCAGCTTTGGCCCCAAAAGCTAAAATGCTCTAAATGGAAAAGTTTTTCTGGGAACAGCAGTCAGTGTGAACATGAACTCACACAGTTAAACTGCTACAACCCCTTCCTTCCCTACTTTGCACACCCTTCCATTGTTGCTCTGAGCCACTGTTTGCGTTTAAGGCATCTTACCAGGTTTAATTTGAATGGAAGCAAGCCAGCCTTAAAATGACTTAAGAATATGTACACAGGGGCTTGGTACCAACCTAACTATATTGCTTTGAGAGTCCAGTTTCTTGTGCAGAGAACTGACCAAGTGTAAGATAGAGGGGAGCTAATTTCCAATAGCAGGAGGGTCAGTTAATTGCAAAGCACTTTGAAACTATGTGCCAAGCAAGGGCTGAGCATTAACTGCTGCTGAAGAAACAGACTTGTAAATTCAAGGGTGAACTAGCAATAACTCCAAACCCTTCTGTGGATCCCTGGCTCACCGTCTCTCCCTCTCTCAACTATAGTCAAGACATCACCAGCCTTTCTGACTGCTACATGTGCCAAATGTTCAGATGCAGCCAAACGACCCACCATATTAGGCTGCCATCCCTCCACATTGACACAGCGATCGATACACCACCAGAAGTCATCTTCAGATTCTCCCTTCCAGGCAAAGACAGGGAATCCTGACAACGAGAGGGAGAAAGTTCAGTGATGCAGAGGTCAGCTGGGACAAGTGCTCCCTACACTGCAAAGGGTGGGAATGGCCAAGGTTTATGCGGTGCTTCCTATCACCGTCAGAGCACCCACATTGAGAGCCAGACCATACACACCGCTCTAGGAGAGGCCCTTTTCGAATTATGGAGGTGTGTGTATGATATATTCACCACAGGCAATGCAGCAATTAGTCTCAGTAGAAGTTAGTTCAAAAGAGCAAATATGTGGCCTTTCAGAAAGCGGTGAAGCTGTGATTTCAAACCCTCCCAGGAGACCTCTTTATTGCTGTTCTGGCAAATCTTCAAATACTCCATCTTGGGTGAGCCCCAGAGCAGATATACAGGGTTGTAGAGAATCGTAGAAGCAATTACAACCCATCACTCCAGGCCTCTGATCCATTTCTAAGGACAATAATCTTTACAGCATATGTAGAAGGTATCTGTACTTCAAAATTATCCCAAGTATTGTTCTTACACGAAATGCAGGGATGGGGAGAAGAACAGTGCAAATTGATTTTTCAGGCTGGCTATCAAACCAGAAATTTGGGGGGTGGGGGGAAACATTCAGTGCAGATAGGACAGACAAAGAAATGTGCTGCTGTTTTCCTCCTACAAAAATGGAAGCTTAAAAAAATATAGTTTTGTTCAACACTGAATGTGACACCTGGCCCAAAACTATTTTTTTTCAGTGTTTGTCAAATATTCAAAGGAAACAAAAGGCTAAAGTCACTCCCTCGGTAACTGGAATGCTCACTCGAGATGTGGAAGACATCATCTCTCCTAGATGCCTGGAAAGTGCTGCACCCCCCTGGGGTAGGGTCTCTCAGTTTTGCTGACTGGCACTGTTTTACTTCATAAAAATAATCACAGCTTCACTGGAAAAAGGGTGGGGACCTCCTACCTTGCAGGGGAGTAGTCTAATCATTGGGTTACAGCACCATTTGCATCCGTCACCATCTGTGTTGGGCACATTTACACTTTAGAGCAGTGGTTTTCAACTTTTTTTCACTTGCGGACCCCTTTGGAAATTTCAAATGGAGGTGCCGATGCCTCTGAATAGGAAGTGTGGGTGTTCACATACTTTTGATTGATCATAATCATTTTTCATGGACCCCTTAGACAGTCTGTGGACTCCCAGGGGTCTACAGACCACAGGTTGAAAACCACTGCTTTAAACTGGAGTTATACATTTCAGTGACTGAAGTTCAAGGTGTACTGTCCACACACAGTCTCTCTGTCTCTGATTTGTAGGTGTCTAATGCCTCGAGCTCTGACCGTACTTTTATTTGTCTAAGCAGTATCCAGAGTGCATTCTGCCCTGCCCATCCTTGCGATCCTGCAGGGAGGAAATAAAGGGCAGTGCCCACCAATTGCTCCCAAGTTTCCTATTTTGTGTTGAATCTGAGACAGAAGTGAAAAGAGGCAGAATTGGAATACGTTTGTGGATAATGCACTTCAAAGATCTCCAGTCACTGGTCAGGAACTTCATTTTCCCTTCTGACTAAGTCTGTACATCCCGATCCTCATTTGTGGCTGATTTTAAAGCAGGGCTCACATACTTGGGAGCAGACCTCAGAGTCCCTCTAGGTAAATGGTGATTGTAAGACTGCTCTGCCCAAGCACACAATCTGCCCTAGCGTTTTCTGCAGGGGCATGTGTGAATGGAGCTCTAATCAGCTGTCCTGAAGGTATAATTTATGGCGACGTGGTGCAGAGGTGCTATAGACATTGCTTGGACACTTGCAGAATGTGTCCCTTATCATTGATGGCAAGTCCAACCTAGCAGTCTCATGGCTGTTTTATTCAACCCGTGATCCAGTTTGACAGCCTCGGGGCTGACATCGGGGCCTTTAGACACCTCAACCACAGGTACAAAAAGCCAGGGACTCTTTCTGAACAAATGTTTGGCAAAAGTTGTAGGCCAATACTCTTTTAACATCTAGCATTCCTGTGATTTCCTCTCTTCCTCAACTCCACAAAATTGTGACCCCCCTCCCCAACATCATGTAATTTCTTAAAATAATCCCAATGGCCAACACTAGCCCACAGCGCTATAGCAACAAGGTACAACCCAGATTTCTGAGCCACCAAACAATCAATATGCACACTTTAGCCACACAACTTACCAGTAAAGCATGTGCACGTGAATACCCAAGATGAAAGAAAAGCACCATAGAGATTTCAAGCTCCCACATGTTTATTCTAAACTGAAGGCATGACTATTTTAAAACAGAGAAAGATAGCCTGGCTGTCTTCTCTTACAGCAACCTGTAAAAGGGAAAAAGGGAATCTTTCTAAAAGCACCATGAAAAAAGGGGCAGCCTCTTACCACTCTCAGCCAGGGCAGCAGCCACTTCGTTGAGAGTTGAATAGATGTTGCAAGCAGCCCACCGGCACTGAGCACCCAAGGCACCAAGAGTCTCCATCAGTACCTGCAAAGAGAACAGAAGAGGGCTGTGATATATTCCTGTCATATGAACTGCACTGAACTTAGAGGGGGCGTCTGCAAATTGACTTCTACAGGAAGCAAAGTACCAACCTCTGCAGTTTTAATAGAGCGCACTGCTTTTCTGTTTATTATTTAAAGGAGCATTTCGATGGCATCGATGCCATTTCTTTAAGCACCGGTAGTGTTGTCAGTGCTATATGAAACACAAACAGACCTCCATTTCAGTAAGATAATGAATGAACTGCATAATGATTTCACTGGATCAATCCCAACCCCCTGGTTCTAGTCACTAGAAGGCGTTCTTCCCAATCTGGAACAGAACCCAGGAGTCCTGAATCCCAGTCCTCTGCTCTATGCATTAAAATAAGGCCCTCTCACTGTGCCTTTGAAGTTGGCTTTTTCAAGTCATCATTACTCACAGCTGTTGCTCAGGGACATGCATGCATTGCTCACATCTTCAGGTGGTTAGAGAGACAGATATAGAGATGAAGAGTTATGAACAGACCATTATATAAGGGGGCAGTTCTCTTTTTGTTTTAAAAATGGGGTTTTGGTGAGAAAGGATTTGTCTCCAGAGATGTGGATCCAGCCTATCTGCTTCTGAGAACAGATGGCCAAAGGGCAAAATCCCTCTTCAGCATTTTACCAGCAGGACCCAGCCTTGCCCTGTCTGGGGAGAGAATGAGGTTCATTCTTCATGGCCTATCTATTCTTTTACCTCCCTTCTGAGACGGTTAACAAGGACTGCAGCTACGGGGTCCTGCCTCAGGCAGGGGGTTGGACTAGATGAGCTCTGGAGGTCCCTTCCAGCCCCGCTTCTCTGCCATTTCTGTGCTTTAGGCTGGAGTTTATCCTGCTGTGGAAAATCACTGCCTTGGTTCCAGAAGTGACCCCTACCCACACATCTCATACTAGTAACTGAGCAGTCAGTAGTAAGTCATTTTGCAGTCTAGAATAGATGACCTATGGGTGACAGGCAGCTAATTCTTTCACAGTCCTCCAACTCACCTAATCTTGATCCATCTATCAATTAGATTTCTAGACTGCCCTTCTCAAACAAGACTCAAGGCAGCAGCTTACAAGAAGGAAAAATAACTTACAAAAGCAAGCAGAGTGTTCAAATTAAATGCAAAACAAAAACTCCCTGAAAAAAACATCCTGACTTAGCCTTGCTTGCAAAATGAGAACCAAACATGAAGATCTTAAAGAGTTTCCTTTCCTTGAAGCATGGCAATGGGTAGAATGAGCCTCACAGTGAGGCACTGTCATCCCCTGAGCACATGCTTTGTACATCAACGGAGTCAGTCTACAATTCAGGAACAGAAGACTGGAAGGAGCCCCTCAGCCACTGAGTCAGTCCCAATGACATGCTGAAATGTCAACTGAAAAAGAGAAGTCCATAAAGCCTTACAGCAGTCTGGGCTGTAATGTGCGTGCAGCCCACGATCTTGGCCCCAGCCAATGGCTTCTCTCCCTGAGCTCGCTTCCGCAAAGCCATAAGTGCAGGCATTTCTGGAAGAGATGGAAAAGCCAAACAGTTAGCCCAAGGAACGACATTCAGCACCACTCCCTTCCTCCTCTCGATACTGAAGACGTTATAACAAGTGCACATGGCATTGCCACCCCAGATGTTTAAAAGCCAGGCGGACGGCCTCAAAAATCTTGGCACTCATTGAAAAAACCCCCCATCATTCCTTAAATATACATTCAGGCTCTTCCTTCTTGAATGTTTTGGGTTTGGTGTGCTTGTGTTTTCAGGCTTTTCTCTGCAACAAGGACGGGGCTGTGAAAATTATTTTTAATAGAAGCTGAGTTTTTTTCAAACTTGTTTTCAGGAGTTCAGGATAAGCCCACAGTATTTATAAGCGCTTTAATCATGATAATAATGCAGTCCCTGGAAGGAGCCCCCTTCTTTTCACAAGTTGTCTGAACGAATCATGATGTTTTACAGCATTGTCTAGTGTTTGTAAGTTGTTCGTAACCACGTGCCTCTGAAAATCCAGTAGTCACTCAATGAGTGGTCACTTGGGTCATATGGCATTTCTTCCTGTCCTGGGAGGACATCCCAACCAGAACAGTGCCTGAAGTCATCAGTGACACGCTGGCCTTTCCAGGGAGAGGCTGGGGAACATTTCAAGTAATATAAAACAATAGCAAGCAACGGCATTAAGATATTTGAAGTATTTTCCTGTTTGGTGCTGGCTACTAGAGCCCACTGCCCCCCTCACCCCATCAGTCTATTGTGCTGTTCTGCAGTAATAAAGTAATTTGGGGTCCTCCCTGCCCTTTACCTCTTTAAGCTTAAAGATCCTCTGTACATCTAGATCAGTGATTCTCACCCAAGGTGTCAGAGCACCCTGAGGTGCCTTGAGGTCCATTCAAGGGGGTGCCATGCAGTGGTAGCACCGCTAAGTATGCAAACACGATTCACAAGATAAATCCAGAGATTTCAAACAGGAACTCACAGTGTTAAAAACATTCTGATTTGCTGGAGGCTTTTTGGGGGTTTGCAACAGAAGAATTTGCTCTGTTACATTTGTGTAGTCAAAAAATGAATGAAAATTAAGAGCTGGCTTTTTCTTAGGGGTGTCTTGAGTGTAGAAAGGTTAAAAACCAGTGATCAAGATGGTCAGAAAATCCATTCCCCCAACCAGGGAAAGGCTGTTGAAATTTTCCACAGAAAAATTTTCAGCAAAAAAATCACCAAGACAACAGCAACAAAAACCAAAGGGAAATATTTTGGACTCAAATACTGACATGATGCCTAATAAGAAAGGTCTTTGGGTGCTTCATGCCCCCACTCTCAAGGGTCTCTGCTGGATTATATATACACCACAGCCTCCACTCACGGGGAGAAGGCGGCAGCTGCATCACGAGAGTCTGGTCGCGACATCTCATGGGAAACAGTCTAGCCGGGAAGACAGAGAATGGGAACATGGGGAAACTGCTACCCCAGGAGGCACCAAGGCAGGAGAAGCAATCAAAAGATTTCAGCTTTTGGTTGAAATATTTGGTTTTCTGACCAAAAGCTCCCAAGTCTTCCTCAGCAGGCGCTTCTTACAACAAACCTCCTTTAGTAAAAAAAAAAAAAAAAGAAAAAGAAAAGGGGATTTTTCTGCTGAAGACCAGCTTTCACTAAGGGCCCTGCTATAAATTCAAATGAAAGCTAGCTAGAAACCTGTTACAGAGTTGTTACACATTTTCAGGCACAAACTTTGTAGCTGATTGCCCTTTTATACCTGGATAAGTTATTTTTATGGTGTGATAATTACTTTGCAAGTGTGGCCGGTCTCCGATTCACCAGTGAATTGCCTAATATACGTAATGTACAGCAGAAGCCTGAACGGTCGGTCTCAGTCATCCCTAGCTCCCAGCTCTGCAGACACCACCGAAGCAGGATGTACCCGTGCAACGTCCAGCCCCCAGAACAGAGCTCGTGGAGCCTTGCTTTTTACCTTGCTCAGCAATTTCAATCTCTCGGCGCCCGAATTCTGCTTGCTTTATATTTTTCACACAGAAATCGCTGCTGCCTTTAGAGTTCTTCTGTTGCTTGTCCCGGGGGGAGGTCTCATCGTCGGAGCTGTCTGTATATGAGGCAGCTGAAGAGAGAAAAGGACACATCACAGCCAGAATAAGCCACCCCCAAAAGTCAGATCCTCTGCGATAGGATAGGAGGGGGCATATTGCAGCTACGGAGCAACTGAGAGAATGTGTGACCCCCCTTCAAGAGTAAAAAAACATCGAGGTTATGCAACACTGACACAGGCATGCACCAGAATTGGTTTGCTTCCCAATTCTGCGGCGATCAGCTGAACAGATCACAGACGTGCTTCTTTCGGGCAATAAGAGCACCTTGAGGTGCCGACTCCTTTGTTTCTCTCTTCTTCCTCAACCACAGCCCTCTTTTCCTTCCACTGTCCATATCCTCAGGACCAGCCTTTCCCCTGAAGTGCCCTTCAGCCCTCTATCCAACTCTTATTTCTGCAAACCTACCTGCCACTGCTTCAGCCCTTCTGCCACACTGCTTCTCTGCTTGAATCCACCAAGACCAGTGTCAACCATTCATGCCTTCATCTCCTCTCGCCTTGCTATAGCAACACAAGTTTATGGCCTGTCCATGCTCTTATGCTCCAGATTCTTATGCCCAGTTAGTCCTTGCTCTCTCTATCACTGCTAATGACGGGGGCTATTCCTAGTGTGAGTGCTCTGCTAATATGGAGAGTGGGGACTGGACTGAGACCCACCTTATTTCATGCGAGTTGTCAAATTGCAGCTTAACGCTAAAAGCTTCTAGCCCCTACTCATCTAAGATGGCTGTGTCCAGCCTCGGGAACCACCCCATGCTTAAGGGAAAGGAGATCTGTTACTCATTATAGCTGCTCTAAGCCTTTTTTAGGAGGGCAGCTTATAAATATAATAAATGAATAAATACATGCAACAGGCCAGATGTACAAGAGGCACTTGTGTGGGTTTTCAAGTGTAGCTACAGTCAAGACCACAACCACTCAAATGCAGACCATCTTATTCCAGGTCACGGCTCCCTGTGCTACAGTTCTAGCAACTCATTTTACCAACATAAATGAGTTTCACCAAGTGAATTGTTGGCCCCCTTCATGTGCCTTTACCAGAGTATGGTCAGAGGCAGAAGGCCTCTGGGGAAGCTGTGGTGGTGACAGCTAGGACACATGGTATATACTTACTGAGAACAACTCGCTGTACCCCCAGCCCTTTTAACAAAGTCTCCCTGACTGTTTCTTGCCAGTTCTCAGAAATATTTTTCTCTTTTTAAATACACTTTATTTTTTTTTGGTATCTAAATAGCTTTCCTCCTCCTCCTAACCCTCCCATCCCATTTCTCCTGCATAGCTGGTTGATCTTCCTTCAAGCATTGTCAGAGTGGTCTCTCACTCTTGGGATGCACTTAGTTTTGCCAGAGAAGCTCAGACTCCAGTGGAAAACTCAGCGTTGTTGGGTTATGTGCCGAAAGACGGGGAAACTCCATGAGAGGTCATATGGGGAACTGCTCTTCATCTATTCTTGGGTTCTTACAATGAAGCAGCAGGTCCAAACTCCCTCTTGCCTTTCAAAGCTCAATGGATTTTCACTCCATATATATTGTACAAGAGTTAGGAATTATTCAAGTAGCATGGTCCTTCTGCAATGCTAAATCACCTCTCTGACTGCCACCCACTCTTTATAACACAGGGCAAAGGCTGCAGACTGGCCTGTTCCACTCAGGCTAAATCCATATGGTTTTGTTTCTGGCACGAAGAGACCACAAATTGTTCTTCATGTTAATTCTAGTGGGAAAAAAGGCTTTCAGATCCCAAGATGAATCTAGGGTCAGAACTAGTTGGTACTCCTTCCTGTCACTCCTGGATGAAGGAGATGCAAGTCAGCATCGGGAAGTGTTATGGGCTGAGAAGATTTGGAAGCTTTTGATGGTTGAATGGCCCGATAAGTTCCTTTTGACAATGTTCATGGTGCCAAAACGAAGAGGGAAATAAATATTCTCCTTATTAGTACTCGGAGGGCCTGGTAGATCCAGGATTGTAAGGAGAGGGGGTGGCAGCAGTGGGACCAGCACCACAGCTCCACCGTGGGGGCGATGTATGGCTGGAGCCCCCAGCTCTGTGTGGGGCACCTGGGGTTGGGGGACAGGCAGGGAGCAGGCACAGCAAGTGGGGACTTCCCACCACCGCAGCTGTCCCCAGCCAAACCCGACACCCTGTGCAGCCCCTCCCCACAGCCCCAGGCTGGAAGAGGGCAGGAGAGGCCCTGGTGCTCCCCCCATGCCCACATCAGGCAGGGATAGCAGCAGCAGCAGGCTGGTTCCCCCCCTTTCTGCACCTGCTTCCAGAGGCTCCAGCTCCCTGCCCGCTCCTGCCAGCCCGGGGGCTTTAGCTGCAGGGGCAGCTGTGCATAGTGCCAGGTTTGGCCAGAGATGGCAGTAGCAACAGTGTGTGGGTCCCTATTTCCTGCTTGGCCCCCACACCCCAGCTTTCCCCCGATGCTCTGGGAAGCAACTGCACAGGGTGCTGGGCTCAGCCAGCAGGTCCCTGCCCAGCCTTGTTGTGGGGAGTGGAGAGAGGAGGACTCACTTTGCTATACAGCAGAAGGGGGTGAAGCTGCACCCTCCCTGGGTCTGCTCCTGCAGACAGACAATCTCTCAGGTAGAGAGAGGGGGTTAGCTGTGTTAGCTCCAGTCAGGGAGAAGGCAGGGCACGGGGGTTCAGAGAGGCACGAGCTTTCGCTGGGCTGTGAAAGCTTATAACTCTGAACCAGTTTGTCTCTAAGATGCTTTCCTGGCTTGTCTTTAATGCCTTTAATGGTGCAAGACCTTGGAGCCCAGAATCACCCCGTGCCTAAGGAAGGATTCAAGTCACTGTAGAAATTATGGCTTGTACCAGTGTTCGTCTCCTTCCTCTTTCCCCGCCCCCCCAAACACCGTTGAGCAGGTAGCTCCTAACAGGAGCCCAGTTTCAGGTCTGGCAGGTGGGAGATTTCCCAAAGACAGATCCTACCCTTAAGAAGAGGTTTGTGTGTGGCCCAGCGGGATCCCTCCCTTCTCATCCCAGTTAGGAAAGGAAAACCCAAGGCTCCGCTGGTCTGAAGATTAACACCCGAGGATGTTCAAGAGCTGGCCAGATTTGAATCCTGCGCTAGGAGCTCTTAATTGCCAAAAACTTACATACAAAACGTTTAGATCCTGTTACGGAAAAGGACGATGTTGATAGCAACCTCGACATGTCCTTGCAAACCACTCAGAAGACCCTTTGCGGCATTTTATCTTTTGAGGACCCCAACTTCTCGAGCTCTCTCACTCTATGATCACCGGTTGAGGCAATGCTCAGGGACCACAGACCGAATGAAAGTCACTGCCTACATCTTCCACTCCAGAAACAAGCAGTTGAATGCAGAACACTGGAATCGTCCCGCCCGTCACGTCTAACTGCAGTGGAGCTCTCGGGCTGCAGCCAGACCTCAGACGAGCAGGGCTAACGACCTGTCTCGGTTCTCTCTCGGCGAGGACCACTCCTCGTCATCAACACAAACCTGAGCCGTGCGTTTTAGCTTCTTCTCCTGATCAAATGTCTCTGCAAGAACTTGAAACCTTTCCAAAATCTTGAGCGGCAGGTCTGCTGGACTTAGAAGAGAAACTGTACAAGTTCTTCAGCGCCTGGAAACACATCAGTTGTGTAGACCGATGCTACCGCTTGAGTGGGTACAAATCTGCAGCGATCTCCGTTTCCATCATCCAACAACTGTGTAAGGTGCATAGGTGCCTTTACAGCTTAAGAACATAAGAAACGCCATATTGCATCGGACCATAGGTCCAGTATCCTGTCTGTCACAGCGACAGAGCAGATGGCAAAGGGGAAGAGCATTTATGCAGGGCCTGCCCAGACTCATCTGCCCTCTGCACCACTCCTCTTATAGCTTCCCGCAGTCAGAGGCTCAGTCAGTTGTAATCTGGAGGCTGTAGCCCTTACCTAACCTAGTCCCCTCTAGTGGTGTCTGAATCTAGTGCTTGAAAAGAGCGTAGAAGGCAGACCTCAGATGTCAGAGATGCTAAACAGGCAACATGACTTCAACACAAGCTCTAGATGTTGGCCACCTCAGAAATGAGCACTGCAAACTGACAAGTGCTACTAGAAAGGTAAGTTTTGGGTAGGACCGGTGGGTCTACCGCTACCAAAAGTGGCAGGATGCAGTTAGGGATATTTTCACAAAAGGCCAAGCAGTGGAGGAGTGCTCCCTCAAGGCTTAGTGATGCCTAGGGCATGGCTCATCTTTCTGCAGCCATTGCCATAACCACTGGAAAGGGCTGCAGTGCTCTGTCCTTGCAGACGTATGTCCCGGAGTTGAAGACGTCCTTTAAGGTGTGGAGTTGTGAAGTGCTACAAGAATGAGACAAATCTGAAGGATGACTCTTGTATACTGAATTGCTAGACCCAGATCCAGACTTGTGCTTGAAAGCTTGTCTCAAACATCTCCCAGTTGGTCCAATAAAAGGTATCATCCCACCCAAAATCCTTGCCTCTCACATATTTCCTGGACCATAAAGACTACAACATTACTCCAACACTACCTGTTGCTGTTTGGCCTTTCCAATTTCCTTGACTGCAAGGGCTATCAGAAAGACGAAGGTCACGGCACATGTTTAACGATAACATTGAACCTCGATCACAAGGCTCTTGAATTCAGCCACCATTTCCTCTCCCACTTGTAAAGGAGTTTTTTAACAGAGGCCTAATGCTTCACAAAGACCACAAATCTCAGCAATGGGAGTTTTAATCATGCTTCCTTTTTTGGTGACAGCAATATGTTTCTTCCAAGTCAGAGAAGTGTAAGCACAGAAAGTCTTCAACTAGAAGATCTTACCTGACCCAGCAAATTCTTCTAAGCGAGGGTGACCACCCCAACATATCCCAGCCTGCACCTCTCAATGTCCCAAAGGACATGGAGAAGGGAAATGATCAAAGAAAGAGGAAAAGGAAGAATGACTGCAATCCGAGTTATTAGAGAAGATCAGCAGAGATCTCTCAACCCTCCACCCTACTCTCTGACTACATGGTCTCTGAGGGGTGGTCCACCCTCCCTTCATGGACATCTCTCCTGGGACTTGGGGCTTTCCCGGGGCACCACAGCTGTAGCTGCATCCTGACAGTGGGGATCTGTACTGATAATCCATGTCAAGAACTAAAGTTACATGTAGGCAACTCCTCTTTCCAGAGTTCCTCAGGCCTTTCATTAGAAATGAGGTGTCTGAATTTTGCAAGCTGTAAACGGGAGAGAAGCAGGGAACAGAAAAGCCTGCATGTGCCCTGTTCACCCTCCCCCTCAGCATCTCCTCTCTGCCATGGTGTGAGACAGGACTTGATGAACCTCCAGTCTGACCCAGTACATGGTAATTCCTGGGTCTTTTATTTCTTATGGAGGGATTAAACTGCAGGGACTTCCTACAGTATGGCCAGTGGTTCGTCCTTCACATAGATCTCACCAAACCAGTCAGTGACTCTTCTAGCCTTCTCGAGATACCTGAATGCTCCCAAGCGAAAAATCATAGTGCTGCCGCCGTCTGCATGCCAGGCTCCCCAAGACCTCGCTTAGGTCTAATCTGCTTACTAAGAATTATGCATTGCTGAAATTTCTTGGAGGTCTGTCCTCAGCAGGGGTAGAAAAGGCAAGTCTGACCCTGCAAACAGCACACCGATGGCAACACATTCTAGGAGTGGACTTTTGAGCAGAGTCCAAGGTGCCTCTTGGAGAACTGAAAGCCTGCCTTAATAAAAGAAAAGAAGTTATATAACATCAAGTTCTCTGATCCAGAACTCCAGAAGGATTAACTAGTTAAAGCAGGATTATACACTTGAAAACAGAGCTAATCTGTGTAGTGTTTTTAAAAAAACACATATCTGGGGGCTAGCCCTTGGGTGAAAGTCATGTTTGTAGATCTCACCAGCGTGTGCAATTGAGCTTGTCTCCTAAATTTCATCCTAGTTTACCTGGAAACCATTTTAGCCAGGACTTTAAAAACCAGGATCAGGAGCCACAGTTCATATTGCAGCTGTCAATGGCACCATCTGGTTTTAAGCAGAACAATATGAACCCCCCTCTTCCATCTCCCAGCTGCCAAGCAGTTTTATCTAACGGGCAAGATGAGGCTGCAGATCAGAACTGGTCCCAAGCAGCTGTGACCAGATTTGGGTCTGAACTTTCCCAAAGTGCAGGACTGCTCTGAAGTCCTGACAAGTCCCCTACTGTCACTGCCAGACTTCCTTTTTAAGCAGCGAACGAGGGACTAGAGAACATTTCTCAAACAAGAGCAAATCCCTTTCTATCCACTTAATTATCCCCTCCATCACACCCAAAATACCTATTATAAGCTAACAACGTACCTCTTTTTTAAGAAAAAAAATCTGACCCCCCTCCCACTTAAGTTATGAAACAGAATGGGAATGTCAACCTCCTTAAATACCGATATTATTGACCTAATTTTATTTCAGCAACAAGTTAACGTGTGTGCTGTGCACAACAACATTTGGCACTACAGCTCTTCAAAGAGCTGACAAATATTAGCCAATTCATTTTCCAAGCCTCAGTGAGGTAGGCAAGGGCTTTTCTCTTTTGGTAAAAACAGGGCCACTGACACCGAGAAAGCAAGTGATTTCCCCCAGGCAAAGCTACTAAGCCAGGAGCAGCGCCAGGATTACAACTCAGGTAGGCAGGGCACCTGCTCCTAGATGCAAACCACTGACTGTGCTGTCTCGCCACTGCAGCAAATGCCAACCACACCATTGCAGGCAGCTGGGTGTCTCTCAGTTGCAGGGCTAGCTAACTGGACAGACAGGCTATAAAACAACACTGTGAGCCTTTCAGCACATCTAGCTTGCAAGGCACACAAGGATAAAAAACAGCTGCAACACAAAGCATTGCATGGGGCAAAACTATCTGGATGCCTCCCCCCTCCCCAATGAGTAACAGGAATTTGATTTTGCAAAAATGAGGTAGGAAGGATGGGCATTGGTAAACTTGACACTGAGCTGGAGGGATTTATGCTTTGTTTCTGAAAGCTGTAGTGAGCCTTCTGATAGGAAAGCAGCAGCATGTAGAAATCAGGACACGAGAATCATAGAAAACAAGGGTGTGAAGGGACCTCGGGAGGTCACATCTAGTCCAACCCCTGCTCCAAGCAGGACCAGCCCCAGCTACAGCATCCCAGCCAAGGCTGCTTTTCTGAAGTCCAGGGTCCTTACTCTGCTCTTCTCCATCCTTCCTTTCCTCATGATCCTCAACTCAATCATCTCATGGTTGCTGCCGCCCAAGTTGCCATCTAGGAGACAAGAAGACCTTAGAGAGTGGTTTTCAACCTTTTTTCATTTGCAGACCCCCAAAAAAATTTGAATGGAGGTGTGGACCCATTTGAATTGTAAATGTGGGTATTCACATACTTTTGGTTGATCATACTCATCTTTCAGAGACCCCTTAGATATCGTCTATGGACCTCCAGGGGTCCATGGACCACAGGTTGAAAACCACTGCCTTAGAGGATATTGGGTAGTTTTATTCCCCAGGGAATTTTGTTGTTGAGTACCTGCTATTTGCAGTCTGGTGACACCCAACCCCCCCACCCCTCCACCCTGCAGAAGTTATTATAATTATTTTTTTTTTAGGATTCTCATGGTTAAATTACTTCTGCCAGAGATAGCAGAAGACAGCACAAGTGTCTGGAAGGAAGGTCTCTCACGTCATACCTGACCCTAGCTTCTCTTCAACGATGCTTTGGCATATGGATAGACTTTAACACGGTATTACAGGAAAGTGTCCTCTAGCACAGTGTCATGTACACCTGCAGACTTTCTAAAGCAGCTGGCTGTTGGACCACCTGGGGTCCTTTGAAAAACCCTGTCTTTACTGATATGGAAACTATCAACGAGGCCACAAGAGAGGTGGTGTCACTTCAAAGAAAACAAGTAGACAATGACTGGTTAAGAAATCCCAAAGAGCTGGATGGCTTACAGCCTAGGGAAAGGAATCAGAAGCTTTTTCGCTTCTGTAAGCTGGAGGTTCAAACCCAGCCCTGAGTGTTGGTACTTAGGCCCATATTACTTAGCAATAGTGTAATGATGGGACTAGCCCAAAACTCTTTGGTGGTCTCTGTGAAATGAGCCAGAGGGAACTTGGCACAACATTTAGAGGAGTAGGTAGGTGTTCAAAATGTCCTTACCGGCACTGTTTGGAGGAGTCAGGATAGACTGTACCTATCAAGCTGTCAACTAACCATTTGGCTACAGCAGTTGCTCTCTCCAGGTCAAGGCTGTGGGGTGCTGATGGGATCTATCACAACGTGTACTGCACACGTCTTGGGGACAGAGGCTTCGGTCCACTGTCAACCCAGCACCTTTCATTCGCACTAAAATGTACTTAATGAACCTAAAACTATTCTAAACTGCTAGCACTCTAGTTGGGAAGACTAAAGGTAAGAGTTGCAAGAGAGTTCTCAGAAAGAAAAAATCATTAGGAGCTCTTTCAGCTAAGCAGCTGGAGCAACCAGGAATAATTAGTGAGACTAATTAGACTAATATTAGTCTATTAGTCCTTCAAATATGACAGTCAGCTACAAAATACTACTTGATTAGATCTGCAAGAATGCTGTGAACACAGTGCACGGTTATGGAAGGTCACAGACCCGTATTAGACAAGTGCTGAACGTTAGTGCCAACTCGAAGCTTGTGTTACCACGTGAGGTGCAGTTAAGCCGCATCACTGAGAAACACCCGTCTGTGTAGCTTGCATGGTGATAACTGGGGTCGGGCTGATCGTTCTCTGGGGAGGGCACAGCATGCATCGTTCCTCCGGATCCCCTAAGTGCCCTTTGTGTGGAAACATGGCCACTGCGGGAGAGACAGATGACCCTCCCAGCCACAGGGTGAGTTTTCACACAGTGCAATGGCAAAGCAAGGTTGGTTATCCCGTGAAGGAACACAGCATCCCAGCACAAAGGCCTGGGTGAACACCCTACTACACCTGGATAAGCTAGCCATATCTTCATTGCTTCTTTGGGGGCAGGGAGAGTTCCCTTGGCTTTTGTCTGGGCTGAGTGGGGCAGGGAATAGCCCGTACTTGGCTGTTGGGGCCTCTCTTCTGCAATAATAGAAAGAGGCCAAGGGTTAGAACAAGCCAGCTTGGAGTCATTAATGATCAAGCCTGTGTGTAACCAGGCTCCCCCAAACCTGCCAGGCAAATCCTGCACTGTTATCCAGAGAGCACAGTTAGCATGTGTATTGCTTTACAAAAGCCCGAAACAGAGCCTCTACTGCTAAAGCTTTGCCCTGTCATTCACAGAAGCTGAGACAGTAGTTCAGGTATATGCCACTGATGGAGGGGAAAATCAGCATTAGTGGTTTCACAGAGAGGGAGGAAGGACAAACGCATGATGTGATATAAGAAGCCGTTCCAAGAATAAGGGGCAGCACAAAAGGAGGGGCTAAGCTGGATGTGGAAGGAAGTGACAAAAGGAAGAATGACTGCCATCGTACATGACGCGACTCCTCTTGGGGGTGGTGTCAGCAGGGATGCCACTGTAGGCACGCACGTACTGCATACACAGGGGAGAGGAGTGCTTTCAATAATATTATCCATCAGGACGGTGCTCGTGCTCACTGCCACCTCATGCTCTTCCACACAGGCATAAAGGGCCGGGTAACCATCATCTTGACAATGCATGCCCCATGCTGCCAAAGACTCCAAGAAGTGAGGCCAGAGCCCAGGTTGTGGGATCTATCTCATCTCCTTGAAGTACCCCAATAACCACAGGGTAAGTGACTTTCTTCTTCAAGTGCGGACCCCCTTGTCAGCGATTGGCAATCAGACTCTTCACTGGAAAGAGGAAATGAGGAGCTCCTGCTGCGATAGTCAGTGACTGAGGCACTGAGACTTGGCTGCTATAGCAAGGGGATAATGTTTAATGCAGGTTAGTGGGTTGCTCTGTGCTGTTGCCTTGCCAATATTTGATCGAGGTGTCATCCCTGATCCAAGACCAAAATAACAACTAGGAAAACCTTCCCTTCATCGATCAATGTAACAGAGTGTTTCCAAAGCAGGCTGAGCATGCTGTCCCAGTAGAGACACCTTGCTGTTTAGGTAGCCTCACCAGCCCTCTGACAGTAGGTGCACACACGTTGTATGATTCACTCATTGTCTGCAACCAAATGGCTTGGCCTTTTGGTGAGATGGACACAGCTCCAAAGAGCTAAAGATGGCTTAAAATGCTTGGTCCCATTAGGCTAACAGAACAAGACATATCCAAAGCATGTTGCTGCCTCTCATGGTGCTGAGGGAAGTTCCAGAAAAGATACTAATAGGTTAATCGAACAATTCAAGTAAAACTGGGACCATGTTAGGAATGGATGTAGTATGTGCTCTTGTTGCAACCTTGTTCCATAAACACACATGGCTGGAAGGGAACTCCTGGATCGCTGACACCAGGCCTTTGCTGTCAGAGGCAACCACACTGCGGAAGGATATGTGAGGAGTTATATCAGGGCTTGGAGCTTGCTGATCCTAGAATCATAAAGAATGAGGGCTGAAGGGACCTCAGGAGGTCACATCTCATCCAACCCCTTGCTCAAAGCAGGGCCAGCCCCAACTACATCATCCCAGCCAAGGCTTTGTCTAGCCAGGTCTTCAAAACCTCCAAGGATGGAGACTCCACCACCTCTCTGGGGAGCCTGTTCCAGTGCTTCACCACCCTCCTCGTGAGAAACTAGGACCTCATATCTAACCTCAACTTCCCTGGCTGCAACTTGAGCCCATTGCTCCTTCCTCTGTCATCTGCCACCACTGGGAACAGTCCAGCTCCATCCTCTTTGGGATGACCCTTCAGGCAGTTGAAACCTGTTATCAAATCCCACCTGAGTCTTCTCTAGATTAAATAAACCCAGTTCCCTCAGCCTCTCCTCACAAGTCATGTGCCCCAGCCCTCTAGCCATTTTCGTTGCCCTCCGCTGGACTCTCTCCAACTTGTCCACATCCTTTCTGCAGTGGGAGGCCCAAAACTGGAAACTGTACTCTAGATGTGGCCTCATCAATTCCAAACAGAGAGCAAGAATAATTTCCCTCGATCTGCTGGCAACGTTCCTCCTAACGCAGCCCAGGATGCTGCTAGCTTTCTTTTTTTGCAGAGCTGCTGCTTAGCCAGCTGGTCCCGAGCCTCTTGGTGCATGGGCTAGTTCTGTCCTAAGTGCCAGACTTTGCACTTGTCCTGATTGAGCTTCATGAAATTTCTTTTGGTCCAGTCTTCCAGTCTGTATAGGTCTCTAAATTCTAGCCCTGGCTTTCAGTCTATCTGCTACTCACCCCAGCTTGGTGTCGTCCTTGATCCTTTAGGCCAAGATAAAAACAACCAGAAAGATGCACAGGTGGCTTGATATCACTGTAGCAGACAGATACTTGGTAAAAAGCTCAGGTTCAGATTTCAGCTTAAAATAATGTTTGGGCATAACATAATGTGGTTGGGCTCCTGGTGCTGTCCCCTGTGGCAAACGTCTCCAGGAGTCCTCTACCAGCTCTATGACAGAACTCAGCAACACTTATCATTGCAAATGACCATGCATCTGTTTAAGAGGTCTGCTGAGTCACTGCTGGCTTTGAAAGGTGAAGAACCAAAACAGAGCCCAGCTTTAGTTGTGTCAATGATAAGATGTGTCGTCAAAGAGAACAGCGGATGCCCCGAGGACCTCTCCAGTGCATGACAAGGACTCTGTTACGTTCGTCTTTTAATGGAATTAGCTTGTTGCATGAAAGGCAGAGCTTGAAATCTACGGGCTTTAAGTCAAGAGGCCCTATCCTGGAGGGTTTGTACAGGATTGGAGAAGCAGGCAACTGTCAAAAATGAGCTTAGGCAGGTTGAGTTGGCTCGCAGCTGTTTTATAAACGAAGCAGAAAAGCTCTCAGACTTGTAGGGGGGTTTGTGCATGAGACAGCTGAAGCTGGACACCAGCACGTCAGATGCTCATTAGGCTCCATTTTGCAGACCCAGGAGAGTTGTAGCTGTCTTGTTCTCGACTCCCTCCTATAGGAGCACAAGACACAGGGTAATGCTCAGCCTCAGTCTCATGGGCACGAGATGCCTTTGTCCCTGGTGTGGGATTAATGCTGACACACCCTCGGAGCAGCTGTGTGGGGGACAAGATGATATGCAAGCAGAGATGCTAGGGGGGCCAAGGTTGCATTTCAAAGGAAGTCCTAAAGAGAAAGGGGAGATGGAGGACTGGGGCAAAAACATGAACAGTCACAGAAACCTAAATCTGAGTGTTAAGCTGGACTCTATGTAAGAAATGTATTGCTACATCTGCCTTACAGGGAGACAGGAAAACACATCCATATTCTCTTTCCTCCCCCTCTCTGAAAGACCATGGAGCTATGAAGGGGAAACGGGAGATCGCTCAACTCCTGAATAAGCTGCTGTGGTGGCCGACAGTCCAGCAGATACACAGGCAAAGGAGGACTTTCAGTTTGAAAATGTCCCGAGAGTGGTGCGAGGGGAGCAGACGCAAGGCAGCAGAGGAACCCACCTGAGCTGTAGCTGTCTGTGGAGGACTGAGAGATGGACCGGGACAGCGAACGGCGACTAATCTTCGTTGGGCGCTTGTTGAATTCTTGCTTCTGGTCAGCAAACTGGATCTGTTAAGAGAACAAATCCCTAATTAATCCAGCATGAGATTAAACCCAGTGCAGACGACCCCAAACAGCCCCCATGATTATATCCGAGAACAAGGGTTTCCTTCACATAAGGCTGAGTATCAGTTTCTATAATTTTCCCAGAGGGATTTTATGTTGGCTGCTTAGTTTAGCTCCATGTTCTAGTTTAGCACGCACGATACAAACCCGCTTCTCAAATCCTCCGGCCAGCCATTTTTACCAATATGAACATGCAAGCCAGGAGAATCCAGATACCCCTCACACAATAACCCCAATGCCTTTTTTTTTGTTTTTTAAACTGGAGACAGTGCTGTTTATCAGTCCAAATGGGAACTGTTTGGAGGCCCTCAGAAGCTGGTGCAGAACTGAGGAGCACACTATTTTACTGACCACATACACAGAAAGACAGAGATGGAGAACCATGGGTTGCTCTGTTGTGTAAAGACCAGACTCAGAAATAAAACAAGTCGTAGGATTTCAAATCACTTGCCAACTGTACTCCATAAAATGGGTTAGTTAAGATCAGCCATAAAAGACATGGCTATTATAATTGTGGGGTAAAACACATGGAGGAACACCACGTTTTGACTGGCTGGAAAGCTGGCCCATAGCACTGGTTGCCAAAAAGACATAGGAAGGAAAGATGGAGTCGCTTCACGTTGTACTGAAGTACAGGTGCCTCTTGGGTGGCACATAACAGTTGCTTAACTCTATAGAGCAAACTCTATGGAACAGGTCATAAAAGTGAAGGATAACGCACAAAAGTGAAATGTGGTAGGGAATTTAGGCTGGTAACATTGCACCTCAGGTGCAATTTGGTCAGGGCACCGGGACTAACATTCCTACTCTCACAAACAGCCCTGCAATGGGAGGACCTTCTTACAAGTATTTCCAGGAGATGCGCTCAGTTTACAAGTAACAGGACGACAAGACCTCGGCGCTCCATTTGAAACAGAATCAAACCTGGTTTTCCCAATTTTAGTATCACCATTAGTAATCAAGAGATTCTCCAAGCCAGGGCCAAGCAAGCATGACACCTCTGCTAAAACGTGGGCATGCACGCTAAGCACGGAGCCATCGTCTTGGATCCGCCTGCACGCAGCGGACTGGAGTTCGACAGATTGGTTTGCTGCGGTGCACAAGGATGGTAAGACTCTGGCTCACACACTTTATAGCCATGTCACCTCTGGTAGGCGAACAGAAATACAACCTTGTTGGTAAAGTCAGGAGATCTATTCTGAAGTGTGCAGAGGATAGAACGGCGGAGCAAAAGTGTCATTTTTCCAGACACTTTCCAAAGTGCATTCTCCCTCTCTAATTATACAGTAGGCTCATTACTTCCCTCCTGCCCATGTGCCAACCCTTCCCTGGATGTACTGCCACCAGAAAGGGAATCTGTATCTCCGAGGCAGTGGTTCTCAACCTTTTTTAGATTTAAAGCACCCCTCCAGACAGACTTAAGGCACCCCTTAGAAAATGCCAGAGTTTTCACTCTTTCTTTTTTTTACTACAGAAAAATTAGAGCAATTTTTCTGGCGCAGAGAACTCAAAAAGACCACAACTATGGATTTCTGTCCAAAATCTCTTTGAAAGGATCTCAAGGCACCCCGGCATGTCGTGGCACCCCGGTTGAGGCTCGCTGCTGTAGGTTTTTTTCCACCCTTCAGCCATTCTGAAACGGACCCAGAGATGGCAAAATACTGGCTTTACGACATGCATATTTGCCTCCTAGGAAGACTACCAAAACCACCGCTAGCACAAGACAAACAGCTGTCTTACAATTGCTCTGCCATTACCAAGCTGGAATGGATTTTTTCTTGTGACCTTTACCATAAAAGCTCCGTAGCCCTCAGCCAGCCCCTCCCAGTGCCACCACGGTCCTATTTCTGCATACCGTGCAACTTTCTGCAATGATTTCTCTATCAAATAAAAGTTCAGCTCATTAGGGGAAAAAAAGCCACAAATCCTATCAACATCTCATTTTCCTCCTCATAATATTTCTAGAGCAGTCCTTCACCCAGTGCTTGCAGGGCACTTTACAAGCATTTAGCTGCCACATGAAGTAGACATTCACATTTTAGCAGATGCTGAAACTAAAGCTGAGTGTTTCTCTCGCTTGTCCACGGTTACACAGCAAGGCAGCGACAAAACCAGGAATAGAAGCTAGGAGTTTTCACTCCTCCCCTCCAGGCAGTATAATGCCACAGCTAGGCAAACTTTTTGAGGGCTGAGCCTGTTAATCACAGATAAATTCTCCCTCAGTAGCTAACACTTTTGTTGGACAACTTTTAGCACTGCTGTCGGAGCGTTTCAGCGTTGCGCAAAGGTGTTAGATCTCTCTTGGAGAAGTTGGAGGCGACTCCTCACTTGTTATTTAAGGATAGTGGTCCAGATGTACACTGGTATATATTGGCAAAACTCCCCTGACTTTATGCGAATAGCTTGCTTGCTCCGATACAGGTTTACAGGGTACAGGTTGTAGCCGTGTTTGTCTAAGGACACAGGCAGACAAGGTTCTTAGGGGAAACCTGATATCTTTTATTAGACCAACTCAAAGAAGTATATTTGAGTTGGTCTAATAAAAGATATCAGATTTACCCAAAGAACCTTGTCTGCTGTTAAAGATTTAGCATTTATATCTACAAAGCAAAACCATTACCAGCAAGTATCAACTCTCTTAGGGTATGTTAAGTGCTTTATTTACTTGAATATAAGATAAGATACCCCCCACAATCAGCATGGGGGAAAAAAGCCTATCATCTTATATTTGCATACCAGCAAGTCCCCTGCATTACATACACTGTCTAGTACCAAACTGCTGCTAGAAGCAGTATGTGCTCAGTCACAGAAACCAACTATGAAGTTGACTGAAGGCAGCCCAAGCTAAGCATGCCCATAAAACATCTGGCCCCCATTGGACAAACACGCTAATGGGAACCTTCTTTTTTAAATGTGGCTCTTAAAAAACCAAACAAATGGGTGGATGTTCCCTCCATACAGAACTGGCAGCAGGACTGGAGGTACTGCAATACCAGGCTGGCACCGGGAGAGGGCCAGAGCCAGCCCTGGCACCCCACCCCAACCTTGATGCGAAAAATGCTACATTTGATCTTAGCCGAAAAGACAGATATGCAATTTATATTAAAAAAAAAAAATAAATAAATAAAATAAAAAAAAAAAAAAGCATTTCAGACCAAATTAGCCAAATCCATTCCAAATTCCATGAACTAAGCAGAACTTGGTTGTTTAACTCTACGTGGTGCTACCACTGGCTTCACTCCCAGACTCTTCAGCTTGGGGCTTCAGATACTCCCAAATCCATGGCAGGCATCCTATGTGCAGGCCCAAGCCTAGAGGTCTTCAGGTTCAGATGCCCCCGAGTCTTGCTTGCCCTTAGCCAACAGGCCAAAGGAGCAAACTAGGGAGAAATCCCCCATCTCCATCAAATAGGTGTGTAGCCGAGATCCTCCCATTGGGAAGCTACAGTAGACTCTTGTAGGAGGGCCTGCCCACAGTGCGTTGGACAGGTCTTCACCCTTCACTACAGCATCCCATTCAAGGTGATCTGACCTCCAAGGGGGAGCCACCTTCTTGATATCCAATCTCCTCTGCCAGAGATGCTACCATAAGGATAGGCTAGTGCAGCCCAGCCGAACAAGATACAGTGTCCACTGTGTTCACTCCCCCTCAGCACCAACTCTTTTCCAAGTCATGGTGAACCACTACATCAAACATATTTTGACTTCCTATTCACTCCTACAACTGAACAATGCCTTTCTTTCCCATTTCCAATTATTCCTGTTTCTTCACAAGCCTTAGAGGTCAGTAAACAACACCAAACATCTACGTGATTGAGAGCATCACTTCCTCTCTCAGCCTGTCACATGTGATTGGTGTGGTCTTGCCCTCTATGGGGTGGAGATGGACCCGGGTTGCCTTGCACCTCATCTGCATATACATTTTTGGAGGGTCCCAGGACTTGTGACAAGAACACCCAGTTCTCGTTGTGACTGGGAGCTAACTAGATCCTTGGCTCCTTTGTGGGGGGGGGCAGGGGGTGTAAATCTGGAGTACAGACACATACTGAGCAGTGCTGGGCTGTGGGGTCACTGTGGCTTGAAATGCTGTTGACTGCCCAGCCCAGTAAAGTATATGATCAGTCACGAGCCTTTTGACTTTGGACTAATATCATGCGTAGTTTGCACTATGTATAAGTAGGAACAAAAGTGCTGCTCCAAAGTGTGCTTATGGAGGACCTGTGCTGAGACTTGCAGCAGCTTGTGCCAAGTTAAAATGCACGACTTCTGCATGAACTTACCTAGAGTCATTTACATATATGCAAGGTACCAGGGGTACGTTTATTGTGGCGTCGGTGGTTTTTTTGGTTCCTTCCACTTCAAATTAACAAGGGGGCGAGGCGAGCCAAGCAACTGCTGCATTTATGACTGGGCCTGTGTCTGGGTCAGGACCAGTTGGACCCACAGCACTCTCCTGTCCCTCTCTGCAGCGTCTGTTCTCCCTTGTGTCCCTTGCCCCTCTTACTGTTACATACAGTTCAGTTCACATCCTTCCACGCTCTGCTCCAGGAGGGAACCAAGCCTGAGCAGGGTCTGACAGTAAGAGGGGGGTGGAAGGGCTGAAGGGGGAAGAAATGTGGGCAGAGGGTAAGGAGGCCACCTGACTGTCCCAGCCATCATTTCCCCTGCTGTAGCAGTGGGAGGAGGCAAAATCAAGACAACCCTCCGATAATTAGATGCTACACCCAGAAAATTATAACACATTGATAAGGTTTCCTTAGATAGACTCTAATTATTGGGGGAGGTCATCTTACATTTGAATACATACGCTATTTGGTTCTGTATATTTTACCAAACTGCCCCGACTTTGGTGCCCTGTGGGAGAAGTTCAAATTCAAGCCCAGTGGGCTGAGGGGTGCAAAGCTCTGTACTGCCACATGAGATGCGCTGGCAGCTCCATCACCTCGCTCCTTGTGCTTAGCAGGAGAAGGAGCATTACCACATTGCTGCAGAGAAACACCTTTTCCATCCTCTGTAAAAGGGATAGGGATTAGTCAGGACACGAACAAACCTTTTCCTCCACAGCAGAGGTAGTCATGGCAGGAAAGAATACTGCAAAGGACAAGGTGATGGCGTGGTTCTGGTGGCTCCTCCAGGCTCCCTTTTGGAGCCGTGGCAAGGCCACAAGATTTATCAGATGATCCCGCTACAGTACGAGTTGTAACACCGCTTCAAGTTTTTCTCTTTGCAACACCTACAAACGATAATACAGGAACCTAAAATAATCAGTGGGAATTTTTTTTTACTGGAGACCTAGCAATGCACAGAAAAAAAAGTGCTTCTTGCTTCACAAGCAGCAGCATTGACTGAATGGGCAAACTAGTCGGTGCACATGGTTTTCTAGCAGCTGTTGTTTTGTCGGCAAGAAATCTCTTTGCTGAAGCAGATAGCTCCCTGCCTGGAAGAGCCGCTTCAAAGCACCGGATTATTGAGGTCAAATGATGCTTTAGGCAAAACCATTTATGATCGAGCTCTAGCCAGGGCAAAGTATTCTGATGACAGAACTTGGACTAAAAGCAAACTTCTGTTAACTTTTCCCCTTCCTGTATCACCTGTTTAAGGATCTTTCAAGACAACTACTATGAGGTGAACAATAGCATTTCTCTTTTATAAGGCACAATTTCTTCAAAGGCTCCAGAGCACTTTTCAAAACTGAAAAGTGACTTGCTAAAGATTATAAAGTGACCCACACCGAGCAGAATCAAAACCCAGGTCACGATGCTACCAGACCCCGACTCTAACGAGAGGGACGCTGCCTGAGTGAATACAACAGGGCACTGAAGCCCAGTATCTAAATACCAAACCCAAAGCAGCACTATATATAGTGGCAACACAATTCTCTGATCATGCCTCACTTAACGAGGATGGCATTTCCCCAAGCCCCTCAGATGAAACCATATCCTGCCACTTTCGGTCACAATCCTGCGCAGACAATGATTGGAATTGGACTTCTCTGGGGCAATTACGTTAGCTAGCTCCATCTGATTTTTTATATCTTGCACACCATGGCACCATGTCTAGACTACAGCTGCAATTTAAAATAGGAATGAATGTCTCTAACACCTATGAGCCCTGCTTCGAAGCAGCAGGTTAAAAGCTTAAGCTCCACTTACTGTCAGAGCAAAATCCTCATTGTAAGCCCTTGTTCATACTCTCTCCAGGAAGGCTACCCCATAGCAAAGAGTTTTCCTGAGGTGAGAGGCCCCACTGTTAAGTCTCTCCCTAGCTCTACGAGATCGACACAAACAAGGGTATCCATTACATGCAGAAGTTGTTTCGCTCAATAAAGAAAAATTCCTCTGAACGTACAAGCAAGTTTCCCAGGGGTTACTTTGCAGGTGATTAACTCTGAGGCCCTTGCAAACCGCAGACGCTTTGATTTCAGATGCTGACCTGCTTCGACCATCTGTGGTTCTGCATCTGCTGCTTCTAACAGCCATGAAGCTCTTTGGCAGAGACGGGCGATTCAGGCCGGCAAGTTCAGCCACTCGAGCCATGAGGGTTAATGACTTGTAAATGCAGGTGCGCGCAGGCTTCTTTGAAATGAGCAAGGATATATTTCTTTCTTCCCCCCCAGGAAGCTGCCACTGATGAGTCCCAGATCCTGTCTTCCACCCCAGGAAGCTGCCACTGATGAGTCCCAGATTTAAGACTTGCTCTTCACCCATTTACCAAGCACCAGAGCAAGCCCCGCTACCTGGGGCTATGGTTGGCTGCCCCGAACCTCACTGATCTACCCGCAGCTCTTCACAAGACTGTCCGGGGGACTACCGAGCAGTGAGGAAACAACGCGTTCAACTCTACACCCTAAGCCTCAAGCCCCCCACTTCTGAGAGGAAACGGAGCACAGCATGTTGCGTTCCCTGAGGATTACGTTTCCCTTTTCCCCAGGTGAAGGGGCTTAGTCCCGAAAGCAAATGTGAGCAGGAAGGAAGAAAGCAACAAAAAACCAAGTGAACTTTTTACTAGTGAGACTACAGTAAAGTACCTAAAGGCTGCCCTCACCTGGGCTTTAATCCCTGAATCTCCATTCACATTGTACGTCTTCTTGTTCGGCATGGCGTTATCATCTATGGCCTTCCCGAAACCCTTCCAGTCCAGTGTAGTGGCCGGCCATTCATTTATATCTCCCAGCATCAGCGATCCTGTCTGCTCTGGTTTCAGCTCTTGACGGGGGCGGGGGAAAGGAGGAAGGTAAGGAGAAGGCTACACTTGCCCAGGTTCCCAGTTCCCTCTCCAAGGGCCCTTTTGGCAACAAAGGACCCCAAGATTTAATGAGGCATTTCTGCTGGAGGCCGGCAAACAAGTCCCACTTCTTTTTCCCCCTTTTGTTTTCCAGCATTTGCAATGTCTGCCTGACCTCTAAACTGTGAGCAGCAGGTTTTAACATGGCCTGACTTGTGTGCGCATAACAATAGCTTATTTATATAACCAGAACATTTTCTTGCTTGCTATAATCAACTTGCTAATTAGGTTCTTTTTAACTTGGGTTCTCCCCCACCTTTTTCCAATGTCAGATGATTGCCTTAACAGAGCCTCATTAGAACAAAATTAACTAATGAGCAACTAAAACAATGAAGGCATTTGTTGGATTGGAAAACATTTTTTTTAAATGATGCCAGTGCCCTGTGGCAGCAAGTGTGGAGCTCTGTCCTTGCAAGGTCAAGCCCTCCAGTCTGGTTATTTCTCCCAAGTGAACATAACACCCCTATCTAGCTGTTGCTGCTTCAGACCAACACTTTCCACCTGGTACAGCTATCCACCAGTGCTGGAAAGGGGCAAAGGCTACTTCTCAGGAGAGCGCCGGCCAAGAGCACTCATGCCAGTGTAAGTGCAGGGGACACAGGCTTGCTGGAAAGGATGCAATCCTGCCTTAGCGGGTGTCCTACCAGGCTTGATGCAGGGCAGATTTTTATTCCTTACTTAATAGGTCAGATCATCAGAATAGCAATGATCTATTCCCAGAACAGCTGTATCCCTTCTGGATAAGCCTGAGACAGTTTCTTGCATGGAGCTTTCATACGGGTCATGTTTGGCATTTTGAATTTTCTCTGTGGCTTGTTTGCATTGTTAAAGGAAAACCTTAACGTGCCCTTGACACGGTAGAACAACAAGCCCCAGCATGTGTAATGAATGACGGTCTTGAGCAGATGACGATTTTGCAAACACAGCGCTGTGATAGCACTGGCTGTTTACAATGGGTGTCAACGATAGAGCCCGTGGGTTGGATCCTCTTTGCAGAGCCATGTCATCCAGGCCTCGGTGCTGGCCCCCATGCAGGGCCAGTCCAGGACCTCTTCCCCACCCACACATGCTGCATCCAGTGCCCTGGTGCCCACTCCGGCTGGCCCAGGATGCAAGCTGCATGCAGCTCTGTGGGTCCCCTGAATGTCAAATCTGGCACCTGCGCCAGCTGATCTGCGCTGCACACTGCCCACTCCAGCTGGTCTGGGACCCACGCTGCATACAGCACCTGCACCGATTGCCTCCAGTCCTGTGCCACTCATCTGGCTGTGTTCGACACCCTTCTTTTACACCATCGTGCCTGGCTTCTCTTTGAAGGTATGGAAGAAAAGAAATAAAATGGCAGCTACGAATTTTGTAGAACATGCAAGCTGCAGACTTTGCTAACAGCTTGCATATTCCCTGCTCCACAGCAAAAGGACCTGGTTTGGATAGGGCCTACGTGACCTCTGGAAGTCGCTTCCAGCCCTACTTCTCTAAGATTTTATGACCTGCAGTTTCCTCCATTGAGAGCCTACCCCAGGCCTGCAGGCCAGATCTGACCTGCAGAGCCACTCTATCCAGGCCCACAGGACCAAAAATGTGATGGTGTGGCAGCACCACACCATCTTTCACCACACCTTCAAGGGCAAACTGGATGCTTATCTTGCTGGGATCCTGTGACCCCAGCTGACTTCCTGCCCTTTGGGCGGGGGGCTGGACTCGATGATCTTCTGAGGTCCCTTCCAGCCCTAGTGTCTATGAAATCTATGAAGCACTGGCAGCATTAATTCCCATTCCCCTGACAACAATTTTCTGGGCTCTTAGGGAGTCCCACGGGCTGGATAGTGGCTCTGCACACCACAATGGGAGTGCCTGGCGTGACTTGGCAGTGTTGGGCCAGGTGGAAGCTGTGTGGACCTGATCCTGGTGCGAGGTGACACGAGGCCCAAACTGGCCTGCAAGCGGGCCCAGAGCCATTCATTCAGCCTAAAGGGCCGACGGGTTGAGCACTTCTGCTCTAGACCTCGCTGGAACATACAATTAGCTGAAATCTATAAAACCACGCCACACCTGTGGGATCGAAATCCAGCCATTTCGTTATTCCTGTGTGCAGAGCCCTAGCGAGGTATTTTGGCACCCAGTGCAGGTCATGTGGCAGACTAGGGTGTTAGGTCTGTGTTGCGTCAGGGTTGAGGCTAGTCTTATGCAGAGTTTAGATGATGGTTGTCTGGGATGGGCTGGATAGGGCTGATCCTGCCCCAGGCAGGGGGTTGGACTAGATGTGACCTCTGGAGGTCTCTTCCAGCCCCACTGCTCTGTGATCTGTGTGCAGAGCACCCTGCTACGCGCTCCCATGTGAGTACCTCCATTTGATTTGGTGTCCCCCTTCTGCAAGCGCACCCACCAACACCGCCCTGGCTGTGGTGCTGCCTGTGGTAAGGAATGGGACTGAGATGTTTCTTTCCAAAGGGAAATCCCTCAGATCATCCAACTGGCTGACACAATTTTACCCAAATTGTCCAAGTCCCGCTCTGGAACAGGCACTGCCATCTTACGGCAGAGAACAAGCAACTTTCCTCCCACAACGTAAGACTCTGGAAAGGTTATGAGGAAGTTGTAAAAACCAAGGACTTAGACTGGAAATTGTCTGGCAATCTTAGAACGGTTGGGACCAGCGTGACATTTCAGAGTGACCTGGACAAACTGGAGGATTGGGCCTAAAGAAATCTCAGGAGATTCAACAAGGACAAGGGCAAAGTCCTGCACTGAGGAGGGAGCAATCCCATGCACTGGTGCAGGCTGGGGGTGACGGGCTGGGCAGCAGCTCTGCAGAAGAGGACCTGGGGTGACAGCGGACAAGGAGCTGAATAGGAGCCAGCAGTGCGCCCTTGGTGCCAAGAAGGCTAATGGCATCCTGGGCTGCACTGGTAGTAGGTCAAGAGAAGAGATTATTTCCCTCTGTTCTGTATTGGTGAGGCCACATCTGGAGTCCTGTGTCCAGTTGTGGGCCCCCCACTGCAGAAAGGATGTGGCCACGTTGGAAAGAGTCCAGTGGAGGACAACAAAAGTGGTTCGGGGGCTGGGGGACAGGACTGGTGAGGGGAGGCTGAGGGAACTGGGCTGATTTAGTCTGCAGAAGAGAAGGCCAAGAGGGATTTGATAGCAGCCTTCAACTCCCTGCAGGGTGGTTGCAAAGAGGATGGAGCTGGGCTGTTCTCAGTGGGGGCAGATGACAGGACAAGGAGCAATGGGCTCACGTTGCAGCAGGGAATGTTTAGGTTGGATATTAGGAAAAACTCTCTCACTAGGAGGGTGGTGAAGCACTGGGACAGGTTACCCAGAGAGGTGGTGCAGTCTCCATCCTTGGAGGTTTTGAAGACCCAGCTAGACAAAACCTTGGCTGGGACGATGTAGTTGGGGCTGGTCCTGCTTGGAGCAGGGGGTTGGACTAGATGTGACCTCCTGAGGTCCCTTCCCACCCTCACTTTCTACGATTCAAGGCCATATTAGCACTCTGCAGCAGTTCCTCTCAGCAGACCTCAAAGTGCTATACAAAGAGTTAATGCTTTCAGTACTGCTATGAGGAGGGCACTATCTCTACTTACAGATACACGCGGAGATGCAGACAGCGATATAGCTTTCCCAAGACCATGAGTAACAGGCTGTGAACTGAACCCAGGGCTGCTGTTTCCCTGGGCTGTGCTCAAGCCAACGGGCAATGGAAACTAGATCTCATTATTCATGAAAGAAAAGCCGTGCAACTGCAGCAACCTAACAGAGCACACTCTAGTTGCCAGGCACGATACTTTATCTCCTGTTCTACTTTCCTGTGTGAAATCGAAGCTGCGGGCATGGACGCCTGGTGTTAATACCCGAGACGCATCCAAAACGCGCAGGACCAGCTTGCTGAGGTAGACACAATGCTGCTCCCTCTGCCGTAACTCAAGCTCGCTCTCTGCTTATTGACAACAGCTGCCTCACATGAAACGACCTGTGAGCTAAAAACGCAAAGGGTAAGTTGCTTCGGCTAACTCCTAACCCCAACCTCCTTAAAAGACCTCTAGATCGTATCTGCGAGTCAGGGACAGTCTGAGGCCGTTTGTTCCAAAGTTTCACATGCCTTAAATTAATGTGTAATCCTCACCACGGTGCCAGCTGCGCCAAGGTCTTTGCTAAAGCTCGAGGAGTTTAAGATTCCAGCCCTACAGCTAAAATGTCACATGGATCCTAATTCTGTGGATTAACATGAACACCTTAACCCCTTGGAGTAGCCACCTGAAATACAACTTGAATTTCTCTCAAGGGCTCTTGTTATCCAGGAGGCTTGATGTAGCAAGGCCTCTTAGCTGTCGGAGAAGGAATGGGCATTCATCTAGGTCCTGCCTGGATCACTGATCTACATCCCAGCTTCTTGAATGGTTCACTCAGCGTGAACATATGGATGGTCACAGACATGTACCTCAGCTAGGGAAACCCTGGTGTTGGGTACCGCACTTACCCGAATCCAATATGACTTCACATTTCAGATGAACCCCCCATTAGTCTCTATACATGGGAAATGTATAAAGTAATTATAATTTTTTATGCATCCCCACGCTGCTTACTTTCTGGGCTGCAGAGCTTGCTCTGGCGCTGTCGACAGCGGTGGTGGCCCTGGCCCAGGGAGGAGCAGTGGTGGCAGCTCTGGGCCTGCTGTTGGAGTTGAAGCCAGAGCTGAAGGTAAGCAGTGGGGTGGGGTGGGCTGGGGGGGGGAGGCTGCGCGGTCTCCTCCATCGTGGCTTACTGGTTGAACTGTGGCTTACTGGTCAAGCATATTTTGGTGAAATGGAGGTCAATGTTGGTAGGTCATCAGACCTTCTGGATATCAGTGCCAACAGGGACTAATATTTCATTCAAGTCTTTTCCCTTTATCCCAGTGGCTGGCTTTGACCCCACCATCATAGAGAATCACAGAGAAGTGGGGCTGGAAGGGAGCTCCAGGGCTCACGTCTAGTCCAACCCCTGCCTGAGGCAGGATCAGCCCTGTCCAAACTATCCTACACAATCCATCCGACAGGTCCAAGCACATGGATCCAAAAACTCC